AATCGTTCCCACCTTTTCCTAATTTGATCCCCCAAAGTCACACTTCTGTCACTAGAGCTATTACTACTAAAATTACATTCCATGTATTCAGTTTTAGTTCTACTTAAACGAAGGCCTTTAGACTCCAATGTAGACCTCCATAATTCAAGTTTTTCCTGGGCTTTTTCTCTCGTTTTATCCACGAGAAGAATATCATCAGCAAAAAGCATACACCAAGGTACATCCTCTTGTAGATGTCCAGTAAGACCATCCATAATTAAAGCAAAAAGATATGGGCTTAAAGTCGATCCCTGATGTAAACCAACAGAAATAGGAAAATATTTTGTCAATCCTCCTTCAGTTTGAACACAAGTAACAGCTCTAGTATACATATCTTTAATGACTTGAATATAAGTCATATCAACACATTTCTTCTCGAGAACTCTCCAAAGGATATCTCTTGGAACCTTATCGTAAGCTTTTTCTAAATCAATAAAAATCAAATGTAGATTCTCCTTATTATCTCTGAACTTCTCCATCAAACCTCTCAATAAATGTATAGCTTCCATAGTAGACCTGCCAGGCATAAATCCAAATTGATTATGAGAAATTTTCGTGATGCATCTTAACCTATGTTCAATTACCCTCTCCCATAATTTTAAAGTATGACACATCAACTTAATTCCTCTATAATTTGCACACTCTTGTGCATCCCCTTTATTCTTAAAAATGGGGATCAAAATACTCTTCCTCCACTCCTCAGGCATCTTTTTAGTTTTTAAAATAATATTAAAGAGTTTAGTAAGCCAAGAAACTCCCAAATCTCCCAAATATTTCCACACTTCAATTGGGATATCATCAGGTCCTACAGACTTTCCACCCTTGGTTTTCTTTAAAGCCTCCTCAACTTCTTTTTTGCTAATGCGACGGTAAAAATGAAACGTTTTATTATTATTTACGATATTAAAATCACTAAGTTCGATCGTATTTTCAGAAATTTCATTAAAAACTTTATCAAAGTAACTCACCCACCTATGTTGAATATCTTTTTCTAAGAAAAGTACTTTTTGATTTTCATCTTTAATACACTTTACTTGAGTTAAATCTTTACTTTTCATTAATACACTACACTTTACTTTTTGATTTTAATTTATTAGAATTAAATGAAAATATGTCACTCAACAAAACACAATGGAGAAAAAGAATTCATATAACCGACCCCACTTAGTGAGATAAAGGCTTGTTGTTGTTCTTCTTCTTCTTTTCTTTCTCCTTTTTTTAACTCTCAATTTAGAAAGAACTGAAGAGATAGCTGACAAAAAGAGAGACAAAGGGAGAAGGGAGTCAAGTGGAGAAAGAAATATATGGACAGTAAGGGTAGAAAACAAAAACGTTTTAGCAAGTTTGCCTATTATACAGTAATATGTATGCATGTTATCCATCTATCTATCAACGTGAATATAAGAAAATAAAAAGCCCGCTTGAAATTTAGCTTAACACATACATTTAGCGAATAAAAACCATCAAATACAATCAAAATGCATCTACAATTATATATTTAATTCAAAATCATTTGATAGTCTCTGTGCAGTTAAACCACAACATCTTATAATTCAATCAGAGATAACGATTTAAGAAATTTTAACTAGTTTTAATAATGTTAAAGATACCGCTAAATAAACAAAATTCTTGCATCAGGAACAAATGCAAGTGGCTGCTTACCATGGGAATTAGCTATAAAAAACAGATAAATTCTATAATAGGGATGTCCAAGGAGTGTTTAGTACCGGATCTGCAAAAAGATTGAACAGGAAAGGTTGCACATCCTCAAGGGTTTCAGGACCTCCAAGATTGAGTAACAAGACGCCAAGAATTTCATTTCCAACTAGAAGATTGCTCGTTATTTTCTTTGTTTCAGATGTCATTATTGCCTCAGAAATTGATGAATACCTTTTAGTCATCTGCTTATGTGTTTGATAATATGGGTAAATCAATCTTGGATAAAAAACTGCAAATAAAGACTTGAACTGAGATGATTTCCTCCAAGGTTCCATGTGAACTGCAGAGCCATTGCTAAGCATTCGAGTTACACATGCTGGTTGAGGAGAAAACCTGAAATCGCATAAAACCAGAATTGAATATTTCAGAAAACTCCAATAAGAAAATGATTCAACATAATGCTGATTCTCTTACCAAATCCAAGGTGTTGAGGTGGGCCAATGGATAAGTTCTAATTAAAACACTTAAAAATAATGAATCATAGCAGTTTATGCCTACATGTATTGAAAAGAACAAAGGACATAACAAATGCAAAGTGCCAAATAACCCAAAACGTGAACACGGAAAAAAGAACAGCCAATTAGAAGAACATTTGTCCATGTTGAGTTAACCGTAATAAAAATGTTATTCCAAATTACAATTTTTTTTTTTTTCTCTAGGGAAAATTACATATATAAAAAATTACATATATAATATGTGCAAAGAAATTTTAAAAGAGGACTTCCAGATATTCTTCAATGGAAATAATGCGAGAAGCACCTAATATTTTCTGTATTTTCTCCTGTGGTAATAGCCAGGACTCTTTTGTCAAAAGATTGGAGGATTGATTTCATCAAGAAAGAATTACAAAAATGCTTGCATGTTTTCTTCTTCTCTTCCGTGGATACCAATTGGGAGTGAAAGAAATACTACATACTTTTCTAACCCAAAAAAAAAAAAAGATGTCATATGATTTGAGATCATCAATCTTGCCGACTTTCGAAGCAACAATGATAAAAGAAAATAATTCATTAAGAATTAAAAAATTATGGTGGAAAATTTTTTTTCCGTCTAGATGTTCAGTACCTTTATTATACATTTTTTTATTTTAATCTTTTTCTCATTTTTTTCCACCTTTGTTACTGATTTTCTCTTACCTTAATTTTTTATTTATAATTTTTAATTATTAATGAGAAGGGTTCGCCTAGCTTTTCACTGAATGAAAATTAATAAAAAAAATCAATTTAAGGTATGTGTATGCCTCCTACCATTCAAAAGAGAATAGTTTTTACTTCCAAATTATTAGAGTGTTGTCATTGCATAGGAGGCAAAAGGCACATCAAAATAAAAACCATGCATGAATTTGGATTAACTTTAGTATTCCTCTTGTTGATAACTTCAAAAAAGTTATAGTTGTGGCGGAAATGCATTTGTTGCAAATTAGGATTATGCATCATTCTTATTGTTGTGGGTTGAAATCTTAACCTTCCCCTATTGTTCTTTCATCTTGTGAGGTTGTATGTCTTCTCATTTGCAGTGTTGCTAGGCTATAAACATCTTGTCATGGATTCTTCTTCCGCAAATCAAAGTTCTTTTATTCAGCTTGGACCGTTCCTTTAGGGACAAATTAATCTGAAACCTGTCCAGCTTTTACTATAAGAAAATGATAAAGATTAAAAAACAAGTGGGATAAAATGTCATTTTCTGATCAATATAACCTCGTCATAGATAAATTACATCATAAGAGTCATAAATAAATTTTGTGTATTTCAGAAATATCGCAGCATATTTTGAAACAAATAACTTGTATGCAAAATTCACTGCATAAATTTCACTAACTAATGTCACTGGAAACATCCTGCACTCAATGGCATGACTACAAAGCTTTCCAAACAATAATAATGCTGTCGTTTCATATTAAAATTTTGCATCATTCCCATTATTGTGGGATGTAACATCAGCCTTTCCTTGTTTTTCTTTCGTGTTGTAGGGTTGTAAGAATTTGATTTTCAATGCAGTTAGGTTATACTAGCTTGTAATTGACTCTTCTTTAAGTATTCATGAAATATAATGTTCTCGTTCAATTAAAGACACTTTCTTTAGGTATAAATTTAATCTGAAACTGATCCAGCTTTACATTAAGAATGTGATAATGATTAAAAAAGATAAGTGGACCGAGTTGTCGTTCTCTAGACAAAATATCCTCTCATAAACAGATTACAATGTAACATTTCAGGCAAGAAAAACTTTCTATGTTACAGAAACATCCCCACATTTAAACTTAAATAAGGAAATTAAATGCAATCCAACGCTTAAAAGTCAACCAATAATGTCACTAGAAACATTCTTACAATCAATGGCATAACCCTAAAGCTTAACGACCAATAACAATGCTAATGCTGGGAATCCAACAATAAAAAAGCACCCTCAAAAAACTTCTTGCGCATAGAATTTTATCTTCAAAAAATGTGCTCAATTCAAGCAAAAAGTTATACCTTGCTCGCAGAGTTGTTGACAGACTGAAAGATCCCACTTCCAAACTACCCATCTCAGTTGCACCTCAATTACCTGCTTGATGAGATGATGACAATATCTGCCCTACAAAAGGAATAAAGATTTGGAATTAATTGATAATTGTTATTCATTTAGCCTATATGATCTACATACATAAAAAAGGACAAGTGTCCATAGAAGTCCTTAATGTGGCTGAGGAACGACAATACATTCCCAGATTCCCTGCCTGAGAAAAAAGTAAGGAAGGAATCCAATGTCTTGTCAAAAGAAAGAATCAAAGAGAAAAGAGTCGCCAAGAGACCACCCAAGCTCAATTACAAAGAAAAATAGCTCCTTTACTTAAACAAAAAAAAAAGGTTTGATGAGCTTCCGTTTATCAGCTCCCACATAGTGAAACAGAAGTGATCTACAAAGAATGCAGGAAAAAAATGATTTGGGGTTGTATAAATGACGTTATATCGGGTGGCCATATTAGGAAGGCTTGGTGCCAGTACTTCTATCCTCATAAAGACAAAATGATAGAAATAAAAGTTTTTTTCAGAACAAATGAATGTTGTTGGGACGAGTAAATAGCCAAAATAGAATTAGTGATCAAAACTCACCGGGTAAAGGTCGCCAATGAGATAAGTAGTGTGTAAAGGAGTTTGAAGTTGAAGTGGAGAAAAAGGAAAAAGAGGTTTTTTATCTATTCAAATAATTAAGTGTTATGAGAGTAAATAGAAAATTTTAGCATTCGACGTTTAAAAAAAAAGAATTCTTTTGATCGTTGTGTAAATATTAGGGCGGCCCTTGGAAGCAACGCGTTGTATAGCCTGAATACAGTGAAAAGTGTACAATGGTCGTTACACCGGCGGCTGGGTGTAGTGTCAAATAAGTAAGAGTTCCCACGTTACGAACGGATGTGGATAAAGAAGTTAGTTCATGAAATTAATCTTATGAAAGAATCTTGGAATATAGGTACTCACACAGATAAATTAAAAAAATTAGTTGATTTTATGATTCATAGAAAGCTAAAAATCTTATTTATTCAAGAAACTAAATGGGTTGGAAAAAAGGCTAAGAAGATTGATAGCTTCGGTTTTAAACTTTAGTATTCAAGTAAGAGTTGCACTAGAAATGGTGTAGGTGTAATTATAGATAAGAGTTAAGAGTTTGAAAGATAATGTTGTAAAAATTAATAAAATCAGAGATGGAATTATAGCCTTAAGATTGTTGCTGATACAAAGATTTTAATATTAGAAGGCTTATGTTTCTCAAGTAGGTTTAGATATAGATTCGAAAGAAAAATCCTGAAATGACCAAGAAGAAATCGTACAAATGATACCTCTTGAAAAAAGAATTTTTATTGAAGGAGAATTAAATGGGCATGTCGGTAGAGTTATAGCAGATTTTATAAATAATCATGTTTGCCACGGTTTTGGAGAGATTAATGAAAAAAGTGGTCATATTAGATTTTGCTTTGACATATGATTTTGTTATTGTTAATATTTTATTTAATAGAAGAGATAAGCATAATATTAATTATAAGAATGGATCTAATAAAGCACAAATTGATCATTTTTTTATAAGAGGAGATCGTCAAGAATGTAAAGATTGTAAGGTCATTCCAAGTGAGAATTTAAGTACTCAACATCGATTATTAGTTCTGGATTTTAAGATGAAGAGTTGTAAAATAAAGGATACTAAAAATTATTATCATCGAATTAGATGGGGACACCTAAAAGACGCATAAAATTATCTTTATGAGCAATCTTCAAATTTTCAATATTTGGGATGTTCATGAATAAACAAAATCTATGTGGGATAAAGTAACAAAAACTGTTAAATAAGTGGTAAAAGATATACTTTGAGAATTCAAAGGAAAAGTTTCTATACATAAAAATAATTGGCGGTGGAATAATAATGTGCAAGAAAAGATATAATATAAGAAGTTATGTTATAAAAATTGATTTATATGTATAAGTTTAGAGAACTCGAAAAAATATGAAATGACCCGTAAGGACTCTAAGAGAACATTCTGTGACGCAAAAAATTTTATTTTTAGCAATCTTTATAATAGATTAAATATTAAAGAGCGAGAAAAGTAAACGTATAAACTAGCCAAATAAAGAGAAAAAAATGTGAAGATTTAACTCAAGTAAAATGTATTAAAGATAAAAATAAAAAAATATTTTTTCTTAGAAAAAAATATTCAACATAGGTGGGTGAATTATTTTGATAAAATATTCAATGAAGTTTCTAAAAATACGATCGACCTTAGTGATTTTAATATCATTAATAATAATAAAATGTTTTATTTTTATTGTCGCATTAGTAAAAGAAAGTTGAGAATGCTTTAAAGAAAACCAATTGAAAGTTTGTAGAACTTAATGATATTCTAATTAAAGAGTGGAAACATTTAGGACATTTGGGAGTTTCCTAGCTTGCTAAACTCTTTAATATTATTTTAAAAACTAAAAAGATGTTTGAGGAGAAGATGAAGAGTATTTTGGTCCCCATTTTTAAGCATAAAAGGGATGCACAAGTGTGTTCAAATTATAGAGGAATTAAGTTGAAGTGTCATACTTAAAAATTATAGGAGAGGGTATTGAACATAAGTTAAGAAGTATTACAAAAATTTCTCATAATCAGATTGGATTTATGTCGGGCGGAATCCATGTTAAACCCTAACTCTAAGCGTATATCTGAAGCTTAATTTATTTTGGATTTATGCGGAATTTAACAAAAATCCATAAAACCTACCAAAGGGTCATAATGAAGAAAATAAATCCATTGATAACTTAAATCCCATTCAACCTAATTATGCTACAAATCCCTGATTTACTAAATCCAAAAGGTCAAATTTAATGAGATTTAAAAGAGGGAAAGTGTTAACAAAGAGATTGTAGCAACCTACCTTCCTTGCACTACACATCCATCTAGTGTTTTCCTACACTCTAGCTCAAGATCCCTCGCTCCTTTCACTTGCTCCAATCCGACCTTTTATTCGCCCTCATAAATCATAACTCATAGCATTTTAAATCAGTCATAACAAAAAACTAGTCACTCATTCCGCTTATTCACATCTCACGTACCTTTTGCACTCCCTCAAATACAAAGATCTCTTAAGCTATTGTTAGCATTTGCACAAATAATTCAAAATTAACTATAAACTTAAATCAAATACGATTATTTAAATTCTAATAATTTTAAAAAACATAATTTGAAATAAGTTGTCAAAATATTTTGTCAGGATTTGTCAAAAATTAACTATTGTCAAGCTAAACTGTTTTCACTATTTAATTGTCTCTAGATTTAATAAAATTGGATTTATAGAATTTAAACATCACAATTGAGTTAAATCCTGCTTGGAGCCAAGTAGCCCCTGAGAAGTTCTTCCTCCCACTTCATGTTCTATGGCATCTCCCACCTCATTTAACTTTTTCTTGATCGATCAATTTAAAAGAAGATCAACCCACTGCCTCACTTAGAGCGGTGAAAAAAAAATATGATCCAATAAGAGAGGCCCAATCAAGGTACCCAATTTTTTATTTTATTTAAAAAATAAAAATTAAATTATGTAATAAATGGATTTAGACACAAACTTCCACAAGCACTTATTCACTATATCAACAATCAAAGCCCTAAGTTCAATGACCGGAGAGAAAGAAAAGGGAAGAAATGAAGATTAAAAGAAAAGAAGAGAGTTAGAACATCATAACTCTCGATCATTGTCTGAAGCGAGGACGCTAGCAACTGATGATCGTATCTTACTTGTAGGAAACCCTCCCATAATTCTGCAAAGCTTATTGCAAGACTCACCCCCTACTCTCCATCTATTCCCCCTTTCTAGACGATTAACGTAACTTCATACGCATTACTTGTATACATAGTTGCTTTGGGTTAGTTGCGGTTCTATATCTACGCTATTTTAGCCATCTTTAAAATATTTCTTTTCTATGGTACATATCATAATATAGATAAAATCTAAATTAATATCAATAATATTTTTATGTAATATAAAATAAAAATATTTTCTTAGTTTATTGGATCATGATTTGTCTGTAAATCAACAGCATAAAGGGAAGAAATGGAATAAAGAGGATTTTGAGATAATACGGATGAACTGAATGAATGACCCTTTTCAATATATGAAAATCACCTCCCCCCTCTGCGTTGCAATAATCACCACTGCTTATAAAGGGTTGGCTATATGTTATAAATTGGGTACTCAATACACACGAATCCCAAAAGATCCTTAATCTTTCTATCTTCTTCTGGTAGGAGCGTTATTATTAAGATTATCCTGACAACACCATAAATGGATAATTATTCCTCATAGAATACATTTTCTCAGGCTTAGCTTTCTGGTAATGCATATATTGGTCAACTTGGTCATTAGAGAGTTCAACCAAATCAGACATGAGATGAGTTAAACTTTCTTGGTGATTTATCGAGTTCCCAATCTAGTCATATCTCCTTGAATGAGTCGATCAATCAAACTTATTTAGCCAGCTCATGAGTGATGACCATTCGGAAGTCACTCCTTTTAGAAATGGAGAGTTTTACGTCGGAGGCACAGGATGCATTATTTTTTGAACTTTCTTCGAAGTGTAATAAATTAGAAGTTTATTTATTTCGTTTGCAAGCACCTGAGGAGTCTGCAGCAATCATCCCAACCATGGCTTGCATTTTCACGAGCTGTTATGGTGTTGTGGAGATGAGGATAGAAAACTTTCCTCTGAAGCGAATGTTTTTGACAAGGTCAAATTTTGCAACAGTTTGTTTAGTCGAAATGTGAAATGGTTGAATTGAAAGGTGTTCATGGCAAGCTAAAAAGGAACGTAACTAAACTAAATCTCGCAGTGGCCAACATGAGTACCAAGCTCGTCGTGTTTTAAAGATGCGCGAAGTCCATAAATTTGGCCAAATTTATGGTGGGTGATGAGTTCATATTAAAGCAACTTATTCAGTCTGACTGAACTCTTGCAAAAGTCATTCAAACCCATGTTTTCATTTTCTTTCCTTGTGTGAGTTGTGATGTTAGCCTCATGTAAGTCAAGTTTATCGTTTGTGATGATGAAAAGATCCATATAATGAGTGAA